CACACAGTGTCACACACAGTGTCACACACAGGTGTCACACACAGTGTCACACACACAGGTGTCACACACAGTGTCACACACAGTGTCACACAGGTGTCACACACACAGGTGTCTGTCACACACACAGGTGTCACACACAGGTGTCACACACACACAGTGTCACACACAGGTGTCACACAGGTGTCACACACACAGTGTCACACACACAGTGTCACACACAGGTGTCACACACAGGTGTCACACACACAGTGTCACACACAGTGTCACACACAGGTGTCACACACACAGGTGTCACACACATTGTCACACACACAGTGTCACACACAGGTGTCACACACAGTGTCACACACAGTGTCACACACAGGTGTCACACACACAGTGTCACACACAGGTGTCACACACAGGTGCCACACACACAGTGTCACACACAGGTGTCACACACAGGTGTCACACACACAGGTGTCACACACAGGTGTCACACACACAGTGTCACACACAGTGTCACACACACAGGTGTCACACAGGTGTCACACACAGTGTCACACACACAGTGTCACACACACAGTGTCACACACAGGTGTCACACACAGGTGTCACACACAGGTGTCACACACAGTGTCACACACACAGTGTCACACACACAGGTGTCACACACAGGTGTCACACACAGTGTCACACACAGTGTCACACACACAGGTGTCACACACACAGTGTCACACACAGGTGTCACACAGGTGTCACACACACAGTGTCACACACAGTGTCACACAGGTGTCACACACAGTGTCACACACACAGTGTCACACACAGTGTCACACACAGAGTGTCACACACAGGTGTCACACACAGGTGTCACACACACAGTGTCACACACACAGGTGTCACACACAGTGTCACACACAGTGTCACACACAGTGTCACACACAGGGTCACACACAGTGTCACACACACAGTGTCACACACAGTGTCACACACAGGTGTCACACACAGTGTCACACACACAGGTGTCACACACAGTGTCACACACAGTGTCACACAGGTGTCACACACACAGGTGTCTGTCACACACACAGGTGTCACACACAGGTGTCACACACACACAGTGTCACACACAGGTGTCACACAGGTGTCACACACACAGTGTCACACACACAGTGTCACACACAGGTGTCACACACAGGTGTCACACACACAGTGTCACACACAGTGTCACACACAGGTGTCACACACACAGGTGTCACACACATTGTCACACACACAGTGTCACACACAGGTGTCACACACAGTGTCACACACAGTGTCACACACAGGTGTCACACACACAGTGTCACACACAGGTGTCACACACAGGTGCCACACACACAGTGTCACACACAGGTGTCACACACAGGTGTCACACACACAGGTGTCACACACAGGTGTCACACACACAGTGTCACACACACAGGTGTCACACACACAGTGTCACACACAGTGTCACACAGGTGTCACACACAGGTGTCACACACACAGGTGTCACACACAGGTGTCACACACACAGGTGTCACACACAGTGTCACACACAGGTGTCGCACACACAGGTGTCACACACAGGTGTCACACACACAGTGTCACACACACAGGTGTCACACACACAGGTGTCACACACAGGTGTCACACACAGGTGTCACACACAGGTGTCACACACACAGTGTCACACACACACAGGTGTCACACACACAGTGTCACACACACACAGGTGTCACACACAGTGTCACACACAGTGTCACACACAGTGTCACACACACAGTGTCACACACACAGGTGTCACACACAGGTGTCACACACACAGTGTCACACACACAGTGTCACACACAGGTGTCACACAGGTGTCACACACAGTGTCACACACAGGTGTCACACACAGTGTCACACACACAGTGTCACACACAGGTGTCACACACAGTGTCACACACACAGTGTCACACACAGGTGTCACACACACAGTGTCACACACAGTGTCACACACAGTGTCACACACACTGGTGTCACACACACAGTGTCACACACAGTGTCACACACACAGTGTCACACACACAGTGTCACACACAGGTGTCACACACACAGTGTCACACACACAGTGTCACACACAGTGTCACACACAGTGTCACACACACTGGTGTCACACACACAGTGTCACACACAGTGTCACACACACAGTGTCACACACACAGTGTCACACACAGGTGTCACACACACAGTGTCACACACAGTGTCACACACAGTGTCACACACAGGTGTCACACACACAGTGTCACACACAGTGTCACACACAGTGTCACACACAGTGTCACACACACAGTGTCACACACACAGTGTCACACACAGTGTCACACACAGTGTCACACACACAGTGTCACACACAGTGTCACACACAGGTGTCACACACACAGTGTCACACACAGGTGTCACACACACAGTGTCACACACACAGTGTCACACACAGGTGTCACACACACAGTGTCACACACACAGGTGTCACACACAGTGTCACACACAGGTGTCACACAGGTGTCACACACAGGTGTCACACACAGGTGTCACACACACAGTGTCACACACAGTGTCACACACAGGTGTCACACAGGTGTCACACACAGGTGTCACACACACAGTGTCACACACAGTGTCACACACAGGTGTCACACACAGTGTCACACACACAGGTGTCACACACAGGTGTCACACACAGGTGTCACACACAGGTGTCACACACAGTGTCACACACACAGGTGTCACACACAGGTGTCACACACAGGTGTCACACACAGGTGTCACACACAGTGTCACACACACAGGTGTCACACACAGTGTCACACACAGGTGTCACACACACAGGTGTCACACACAGGTGTCACACACAGGTGTCACACACAGGTGTCACACACAGTGTCACACACACAGTGTCACACACACAGGTGTCACACACAGTGTCACACACAGGTGTCACACACAGGTGTCACACACAGTGTCACACACACAGTATCACACACAGGTGTCACACACAGGTGTCACACACAGGTGTCACACACACAGGTGTCACACACAGGTGTCACACACAGTGTCACACACAGGTGTCACACACAGTGTCACACACACAGTGTCACACACACAGGTGTCACACACAGTGTCACACACAGGTGTCACACACAGGTGTCACACACAGTGTCACACACAGGTGTCACACACACAGGTGTCACACAGGTGTCACACACACAGTGTCACACACAGTGTCACACACACAGTGTCACACACAGTGTCACACACAGTGTCACACACACAGTGTCACACACAGTGTCACACACAGTGTCACACACACAGTGTCACACACAGTGTCACACACAGGTGTCACACACACAGTGTCACACACAGTGTCACACACACAGTGTCACACACAGTGTCACACACAGGTGTCACACACACAGGTGTCACACACAGGTGTCACACACAGTGTCACACACAGGTGTCACACACACAGGTGTCACACACAGGTGTCACACACACAGGTGTCACACACAGTGTCACACACACAGGTGTCACACACACAGTGTCACACACAGTGTCACACAGTGTCACACACAGGTGTCACACACAGGTGTCACACACACAGGTGTCACACACAGTGTCACACACAGTGTCACACACAGTGTCACACACAGTGTCACACACACAGGTGTCACACACACAGGTGTCACACACAGGTGTCACACACAGTGTCACACACAGGTGTCACACACAGGTGTCACACACACAGGTGTCACACACAGTGTCACACACACAGTGTCACACACAGGTGTCACACACAGTGTCACACACACAGGTGTCACACACACAGGTGTCACACACAGTGTCACACACAGGTGTCACACACACAGGTGTCACACACAGGTGTCACACACAGTGTCACACACAGTGTCACACACAGGTGTCACAAAGGTGTCACACACAGGTGTCACACACAGGTGTCACACACAGTGTCACACACACAGATGTCACACACAGGTGTCACACACAGGTGTCACACACACAGGTGTCACACACAGGTGTCACACACAGGTGTCACACACACAGTGTCACACAGGTGTCACACAGGTGTCACACACACAGTGTCACACACACAGGTGTCACACACAGGTGTCACACAGGTGTCACACACAGGTGTCACACACAGGTGTCACACACAGTGTCACACACACAGTGTCACACACACAGTGTCACACACACAGGTGTCACACACACAGTGTCACACACACAGTGTCACACACACAGTGTCACACACACAGGTGTCACACACAGGTGTCACACAGGTGTCACACACAGTGTCACACACAGGTGTCACACACAGGTGTCACACACACAGTGTCACACACAGTGTCACACACACAGGTATCACACACAGGTGTCACACACAGGTGTCACTCAGGTGTCACACACACAGTGTCACACAGGTGTCACACAGGTGTCACACACACAGTGTCACACACACAGGTGTCACACACAGGTGTCACACAGGTGTCACACACACAGGTGTCACACACACAGTGTCACACACACAGTGTCACACTCAGTGTCACACACAGGTGTCACACACACAGGTGTCACACACACAGTGTCACACACACAGTGTCACACACAGTGTCACACACAGGTGTCACACACAGTGTCACACACACAGGTGTCACACACAGTGTCACACACAGTGTCACACACACAGGTGTCACACACACAGTGTCACACACACAAGTGTCACACACAGTGTCACACACACAGGTGTCACACACACAGATGTCACACACAGTGTCACACACAGGTGTCACACAGGTGTCACACACAGTGTCACACACACAGGTGTCACAGTGTCACACACAGGTGTCACACAGGTGTCACACCCGCCCGTGTCCCGTTTTCGCGGTATCTCACTGCGCATGCGCACAGCACGCCGCGCGGGTGGGCGTGGCCGGAAGTGACGTCAGGCGGAGCGGCCTGAGGCGGCGCGGCCGCGGGGAGCGGGAGCGGCGGCGGCTGAGGGGGATCCTGAGGGTGAGTTTGATCCCCGGGGCGGGATGGTCCCTTCCCGGGGCTGCCCGGCCGCCACGGTGCCTCCCCGGAGGCCACGGCTCTCCTCCGCAGCCCCTGCCCGGCCTGCGCGGGCGGTGGGCCCGGGGCAGGCCCGGAGCGGGAGCTGCGTTCGGCTGTGGTCACGCAGGGGTTAATCATGGCTGTAGTGCTGCTCTCAGCTTTGGGCTGCTCTGGGTGTTTTTGGGGGGACGTGGTTTGCTCGGGGGGGCTGTGTGTGCCAGTGGAGGTGCCCTGTGTTTGTCTCTTGGGGGGTGTTGTGTTTTGGGGTGTGCTGTGGGTACATGGCGGGCCCTGTGTTTATTCTGTTGGGGGTCTATGTTTATCCATGGGAGGGGTCCCTGTGTTTATTTCTGGGGGTTTCCTGTGTTTATTTTGGGGTGTTCCCTGTGTTTATTTGTTGGGGAGTTCATTGTGTTTATTTTTGGGGGTTCTCTGTTTATCTGTGTGGGGGGTTCCCTATGTTTTTTCATGGGGAGGGGTCTGTGTTTATTTTTGGGGGTTTCCCTGTAATTATCTATGGATAGTGTCTTTGTCTATTTTTGGGAGAGTTCTCTGTGTTTATTTTGGGGGGTCCCCTTTGTTTCTTTTGTGGGTTCCCTGTGTTTATTTTAGGGGGTTCCCTATGTTTAGCAATGGGAGGGATCTGTGTATATTTTTGGGGTTTCCCTGTGTTTATCCATGGGGGGGATTCCTTTGTTTATCCCTGGAGGGGTTTCCTGTATTTATTTTTGGGGGTTTCCTGTGTTTATTTTTGGGGGTTTCCTGTGTTTATGTTTTGGGGGGGGTCCCTGTTTTTAGTTTTGGGGGTTTCCTATGTTTATCCATGGAGGGATCCCTGTGCTTATTTTTGGGGTTCCCTGTGATTATCCATGGAAAGAGTCTGTATTTATTTTTGGGGGGGTCCCTGTGTTTATCCACAGAGGGGATTCCCTGTGTTTATGCGTGGTGGGGGTCCCTGTGTTTATTTTGGGGGTTCTCTGTGTTTATTTTTGGGGTTCTCTGTGTTTATTTTTGGGGTTCTCTGTGTTTATTTTTGGGGGTCCCTGTGTTTATTTTTGGGGTTCTCGGTGTTTATTTATGGGGGTTCCCTGTGTTTTCACTTTGGGGGTTCCCCTTTTTATCTATGGGGCTGGTTGAATTTACCTGTGGTAGCTCCACATGTTTTTAAATATTTACAGTATTTGAGATCCCTGTGTTTACCTATGGGGTTCCCTATATTTTCCTACAGGGACACAGCCACCCCTCTATTCCAACTCCAGGATAGTTTAACTTATATTTACACTCAAACATAGATTTATTTGGGGTTTTTTTTGTGCTAAAAGGAGACTCTTGTTTTTCAAAAGGACCTGTGTAAGGTGCTGCTGTGTGCTGAGCTCCTTCCTGTATTTCCTAAGGGAGATTAGAAGAAAGCAGGAAATGGAAGGAAGCTTTGGTTTCCCTGTGATCCCCAGGGCTGTGTTATCTGTGTTTTGGGAGTGTTTTTATCAGCCACCTCCTCGGAATGCAGACATTGTCACCGTGGGTTAACATCAACACACAGCCACAGGAAGGACAGGAGCTGCTCCTGAGGAATTGATGGCTTTCTCACCAAATTTCACATTTTCTTCCCTTTGAAGCATCCCCTCTTTTCAGCCTCTGAAAGTTGGGCGAAGTGAGATTTTTTTTTTTCCCCCCTAATCCAAGTTGGTTTTTTTTTTCCTTGCTTCTTTTCCATGAGGCTCATCTTGCAGAGAATCCAGCTGCCTCTTCCAGAAATGTGATTTATACATGGAAGTCGCTCTCCCTGGGCTGTCTGCCATGTCTCTTTGTGCTGCTCACAGTAAATATCAAACATTCTCCCTCTTTGATTGCAGCATGAAAGGCAAATCTCCACATTTAGGAGCTTGTCATGTCTCCTGTTCTCCGTGATGCTCGTGAGCCTGTCACTGGGAAATCTGGGATCAAAGGAGCTTTTTAGCTGCTTCCAGCACTGTTGGAAACATCTGTCTAAACAAATTGGAGCTTTTCTCCCCTGGTTTTGACAGAACTCCAGTGCTGGGAAGGAGAAAAACTATTTTTTAATTAATTTATCTAATCGTGGCACTGATGCTGCTTTTGCTGCTTTTGTCTTGCATTCCAGTTTTTGGGGATTTTTTCCACCCTTTTGTGTTTCTCTGTGGGTTGGGGTTCCCCTAAAGATTTTTGTTTTCATTTGCACGTGCAGAGATCAATCCAGAATATTCACAGGAGTTGTTCTGCCCCAGTGTCCCTCTGCCAAAACTTCAGTGAGGGAAGTGAGGAGAAATTCCCAGTGTGAAATCACAGGGAGTGATGCCTTTTTCCCAACCTGGAAATGAAACTTGAGATAATTTTAGTAAGGAGGTGATGTAAGAGCAGATTTTTATTTGAAACCCTTTCAGGGGCTTTTGGGAACATCTTCTTACATCACCTCTTAATAAAATGATCCTGAGTTTCATTTCCAGGTTGGAAGGTGAATATCCACAGGCAGGATGAAACAATATCCACAAGAGAATATCCACAGGCAGGACAAAAGACTAAATCTTTTTTTTTTTATTTTGAGTTCAGCCAGTCAAACAGAGATCTGCAGATCTTTATTTGAAGGCCTTCAGGGGCTATTGTGGACATCTTTATTATATCACCTCTTAATAAATGATCTTGAGTTTCATTTCCAGCTTGGGAAAAAGGCAACAGGAAAATATCCACAGGCAGGACGAAACACTAAATTTTTTTTTTTTTTTTTGGATTTTGAATTCAGCCAGTCAGACAGAGATCTGCAGATCTTTATTTGAAGCCCTTCAGGGACATTTTTGAACATCTTATATCATCTTGCTAATATGATCTTGAGTTTCATTTCCATCTTGGGGAAAAGGCAACAGGAGAATATCCACAGGAAGGACAAAACACTAAATATTCCTTTTGGATTTTGAATTCAGCCAAACAGAGATCTGCAGATCTTTATTTGAAGGCCTTCAGGGTTTTTTGTGGACATCTTTCTTATATCACCTCCTTACTAAAATTACCTCTAGTTTCATTTCCAGCTTGGGAAAAAGTAGTAAGAAAATATCCACAGGCAGGATGAGACATTGAATATTCCTTTCGGATTTTGAATTCAGCCTTGAATTTCATCCAGTCAAACAAAGATCTGCTGTACAGTGGGGAAGGCAAAGCCCCAAAATATATATTTGTTGCTGTTGAGGCAGGATGGGAATGAGAAGACTCACTCAGAAGGCTGCTGAGAGTAAAACTCCACTTTATTCAAAATACACTGCTCTTTATACAGAGCTTTGCAAAGGCCAAATCCATTGGTTCTGAAGTGAAAACAAGCCACACCATTGGTGCAGAGTGCTTGACACACAGTGATAGAACTTAACTATAAACAATGTGAGAACAAGAGAGATAAAGAATTATTTACATTCTTCTCCAGCTCTTTCCCAGGCCTCTGCCTGGCTAGAAACTCTCGGTTTCTTTTCTTTGACTGAATCTGAGTCCCACATATATTTATAATTTATTGTAAATGATGTTTATTATCCATGGATTTCACTCTCCTGGGATGGCTGGGACGTCCTGTCCTCCCCAGCACGCGGAGAGGAGGCAGCAGAGCCTGGGAGGGGGCTGTGGCTGCTGACTGAGCTGTGCTTTGTGCATCTCGTTGCAGCAGCTCTGTGCCAGAGCCATGGCCACGGACTGGCTGGGCAGCATCGTGTCCATTAACTGTGGAGAGAGCCTGGGGGTGTACCAGGGCAGAGTGTCTGCTGTGGATCAGGTCAGCCAGACCATCTCCCTCACACGGCCCTTCCACAACGGCGTCAAGTGCCTCGTGCCAGAAGTCACCTTCAGGTTAGTGCCTGCCTCGCCCCTCTGCCTGCTGAGAAAAGTCTGCTGAGGAGGGCAGGAGCCTCCCCTGAAATGGAAAATGTCAACCCTCTCCCTCTGAACTGTTGTTATTTTGGAATTAAAGGGCACTCAGGCAAAGATATGGAGCAGGAATAACGGTTCTTTTATTAGAAAAAATAAAAATGCAGTAATATAAAACAAGATTGACAGAATCAGAACATGCCCTGGCAGGCTGTGGGGCAGGGAGGTGGCAGCAGCCCCATCCCAGGGTGGCTCAGCCCTCCTGCAGTGCCAGCTGGGCTTCTGCTGGAGCAGGATCCTGCACAAGGGGGGAGTTTTCCTCTGGAGCTCCAGGGCTGGGGGAGATGGGCCTGGGCTCCTCTGGGAATGCAGTGGGGAGAAAGCTGCTCCTCTGGGAATGCAGGGGGAAGAAAGCTGCTCCCCTGGGAATGCAGTGGGGAGAAAGCTGCTCCTCTGGGAATGCAGTGGGGAGAAAGCTGCTCCTCTGGGAATGCAGTGGGGAGAAAGCTGCTCCTCTGGGAATGCAGTGGGGAGAAAGCTGCTCCTCTGGGGATGCAGTGGGGAGAAAGCTGCTCCTCTGGGAATGCAGTGGGGCACAAAGCTGCTCCTCTGGGAATGCAGTGGAAGAAAGCTGCTCCTCTGGGAATGCAGTGGGGAAGAAAGCTGCTCCTCTGGGAATGCAGGGGGCAAAGGCTGCTGTGGTGTCCCAAAATCTCAGATTATATCCAGGTAGGAATGCTTGGCTCCTCCCCTGAGCATCTCCCAGTGGGATGATGGAATTTTCTCAGCCATGCAGAGACACTCAGTGGCCATGGACAGGACAGAACAGCTCCCTGCTCCACAGACAGGGATAGAATACCAACCTAAGACAGCCTGCATGTTGGATTATACTTTATTTTTTATTTAGAGATAGGGTAACTGATAGGTATTTAAATTTTTAATTTATTTTTAGCTTTCTGAGAAGGGTACGATAGTATCAATGTTATAATTTCTCCTATTACAATTAAAAGTTAAACGATTTCTTAATTGTTGCCATAGTTTTGCATGAGAGACATTTAGGGAAGTGATGCAAAGCATTCACCAGCACAAAAAAGGATCCCTTTTCTTTACACCCTTGAAAGGTTTGGAGCCTGCTTTACCTTTCTCCTAATCCCACATCACAGCAGGATGTGAGCCCAGCACTGAACCCTTCAGTGCCTTAGCTGGGAAATCCCAAAATCAGTGAAATCTCAAATTGCTGAACAAAACCACTCCTCTGTAAAGCACTGGAAGTGGTTTTGGTTTATTAGCTTTTTGTTGTACCATGTTGTAGATGTTTTAAAGCTAATCATTTAAAATTACTCTTTATAAGTCTTATTATATTTTTTATAATTCCGTTTTTCTAAAATATGTAATTTATAAAACTGATAATTTAAAATTACTCTTTATAAGTCTTACTATATTTTTTATATTTTTCTGAAATATTCAATTTTATTTATAAAACTGATAATTTAAAATTACTCTTTATAAGTCCTACTACAATATATTTTTATAATCCTCTTTTTCTAAAATATTTAATTTTGTTTATAAAACTGTCTTTTAAAACTTTTTAAACTCAATTTCTCTCTTAACAATATCTGTCTTATTATATAGTATTTCTAAATCAACATTTCTTATTGTAAAATTGTTATAAAAACATACTGTATAAACCTTCTGTCGAACCTAAAAACTCTCTACAAATCCGTTTGTAGAGACTTATATATAAATACATACTATATAAAATTGGTATGTAAATGCATCCTATATAAACTTGGTATAGAAATACTATATAAACCTTCTATCCAACCTTAAAAATTCTCTACGAATCCATTTGTAGAGATTTATATATAAATACATACTATATAAAATTTATATAAAAATACATACTATATTGATATATAAATACATACTGTATAAAATTGGTATATAAATATATACTATATAAAATTGATATATCAGTACATACTATTCAAAATTGATATAGAAATATATACTATACAAAGTTGGTATATAAATACATACTATATAAAATTGGTATATAAATATATACTATATAAGATTGGTATATAAATGTTATATTGACATATAAATACATACTGTATAAAATTGGTATATAAATACATAATGTATAAACCTATCCAACCTCAAATACTTTCTACAAATACATTTGTAGAGCTTAATATATAAACACATACTATATAAAATTGATATATCAATACATACTAGATAAAATTCGTCTATAAATACATACTAGATAAAATTGGTGTATCAATACGTACTAGATAAAATTGGTATATCAATACATACTATATAAAATGGATTCATAAATACATACTATGTAAACCTTCTATCCAACCTTAAAACTCTACAAATCCATTTGTAGAGATTTATGTATAAATACATACTATATAAACTTGGTATAGAAATACATAGTGTATAAACTTTCTGTCCAGCCTTAAAACTTTCTACAAATCCATTTGTAGACTTATATATAAATACATCCTATATAAAATTGGTATAGAAATACATACTATACAAAATTGATATATAAATATATACTACATAAAATTGATATCTAAATACATATGATATAAACCATCTGTCCAACCTTAAAAACTCTCTACAAATCCATTTGTAGAGAGTTATATATAAATACATGCTATATAAAATTGGTATATAAATACATCCTATATAAAATTGGTGTAGAAATACATCCTAACTCCTGCCCCACTCCTGCACCTGGCCTAGCGGCTGATTTGGGGGGGTCACACCATGGCTGTACACAAAGAGATTTTTACATTTTATTGAAAATTATTTGCATCATTTTTATTTATAAAGATTAATGAATAGTGATATTATTTATGTAGAATTTTATTTATACTTTTTATCTATATATTATATAAAATATAATTTAAAATATTAAGATATGTAATATATTAATCTATATGTGTAAATATATAATGTATATAAAGATAGAATTTTATATAATACCTAGAATATATATAGTATCTATAATATATATTTTATATATGTTTTTAAATATCTATAATATATAAAAGATATATATTATATATTAAAATATATATTATATAATATATATTGTATATATTATATTACATATTATATATTAATTTCTAATTTTTACTTATGTATTTTACATATAAAAATAGAATTTAAAAATAATTAATATATGTAATTGTATTGTGTATAAATATATAATACATACTATATACTATATAAGTTTAATTTCTAATTTTTACTTACATATTTTACGTATAGAAAAATAGAATTTTAAAGTAATAATAATGTAACATTAATCTATAATATATAAAAATGAATAATATATAAATGTATAATATATTAATATAATTTTTAATTTCTAATTTTATTTATATATTTTACCTATAGAAAATATCTTTAAATAATTAATATAATTAATATATAAATCTAGAGTATGTACTAATATATAAGAAGTATAAATATATATACTATCTATTTTTAATATAAAAATATATAACACATGTATGTTGCTTTTATTTAGAAGTTTTATTTATATATTTTTATATTTTCAGAGTTTTTATTTCTATCCTGTTCAGTTGTAGCAGAGGGAGCTGAGGTGCTTTTGAAGCTTTGCCCTCAGCAGTTCTTTCCCACCAGTTCCTGGTAATGCTGTGCTTAAAAAATGTAAATAGGAGTCACTCCTCGCTGCACATTTTCTGTTCCCTGACATGTTGTAGTGAAGGCTCTGAGTCACTCATTTTTAATAACATTGACTCCACCATGTCAAGACTCTTTATATTTTTTTCCCCTTGGATTTTGAGGAGAGACACTGGGGGAGCAGAGCAGGGGATGTGTGGCAGTCTCTGCTTTCCCATCCCACGTGGACAAACGCTGAGTTAAAGCTGGAAGTGCCCAATTCCTGACTTAGGTCCTGCACTCAGTGCAAATGGAGAGCTTTATAATCACTCCTTTGTTGTCTTTTGGCTTGTGCCCAGTGCTAGATTAGGTTTTTTTAGCCATTTTTTCTTTGGAAATGGGAAGTATCCTCCTTGTCTGAGCAGGAACTGCACTGATCCGAGGGTGGCTTTCTGCAGAAATGGATTAAAAGTAAAAGTAGCCTCCAGGCTGAGAGCAATTAATTAGCTAGGAGCTGTTAAATTAATGCAAATTTCTTCAAAGGTCTGGGCCAGCTGCTTCCATTTTTTGCTTGACTGATTCCTCTTTAACTGCAGAACCTTTCAAACAAAATCCAGGTGCAGTGCAGGCATCCTGAAGTGGCTGTTTTGTAGATTTGACATTTAATGTAAACATTTTGATGTCTGTGTATGTCTGAGCATTAAAATCCGTTTATTCCCTTGTTTTAATTGATGATGGCATCAGGATGTTTTTCCTCAGGAGGTTTTTTTCTCAATTCCTGATTTTCTGGTGCTGTTTTTAGGGCAGGTGACATCACCGAGCTGAAGATCCTGGAGATCCCGGGGCCGGGGGACAGCAGGCAATGCGGGGACTCGCAGCAGATGGACACGGCCGTGCCAGGGGTGGGCTGCCAGGTGGGACCCAGCCAGAACGGCACTGGCAAGGTGCTGAAGAAGCCCATGTCCAGCAGTGCCCCCCAGAACATCCCCAGGAGGACAGACATGAAGAGCCAGGACATTGTCATCTCCCCACAGCAGCAGTGCTCCAAGAGCTACATGGACCGACACATGGAATCGCTGAGCCAGTCCAAAGGCTTCCGTCGGAGGCACAATTCCTGTGAGTGTGGGGCTGGCCTGGAGCCTTCCTGCTCCTCCAGCATCTTCCCTTCTCCACCAAACTTTGCTGGGAACTTCCCCTGGCCCACCTGGGGGTTGTTTTGAAATAGAGTGTATTTCTGAGCCCACTTGAAAGGTGGGTTGTAGTCAGGTGGGGGTCGGTCTCTTGTTCCTGACAGAACTGGAGGCACAGTCTTAAATTTGGATGTTTGGAAAAAGTTTTTTACTGAAAGAGGGGTAAAGTACTGGATTTGTCTGCCTGGGGAGGTGGTGGAGTCACCATCCCTGGATGTGTTTAAAACAAGACTGGATGTGGCACTCAGTGCTGTGGTCTAGTTGTGGTGGTGATAGATGGTGGCTTGGACTCGATGATCATGAAGGTCTCTTCCATCTTAGTGATTCTGTCTCTGTAGAAAATGTCTACTGCTGTAGGAATCTGTGCTATTGGTGATCCCGAGATTGTAGAAAGTCTCTGTCTGTCAGCCCCACTGCCAAAGCAGAAGCCATAATTCACCTGTGCTGTTTCAAGGTTGTTTATTCTGTTTATCTCTAACATGTTCTGCTGCCCTGCCGCAGCTCTGTCCTGCAGGGCAGCGTGTGGGGCTCTGCCCTCAGTGGGATGGTACAAACATTAAATACCACAAACTACCTGTGCTGGATTTACAATAATGTGCCAATATCTGTCACCTACATTGAACAGTGTGTCCCCAGCCTGAACCAACAGAAAAATGCCAACACCACAGTGAAACATGGAGGGCATGAAGAAGGAGAAAAAGGACAAGGCACACCCAATTTCCTCCATCTTGTCCCCTTTGGACCCCTAATCTAGAATCCTAAAATTTTACTTTTGCACCCGTGCCACACTTAATTATTACTGATATCAAACACTCAGAGCTGGTAATTCATCCTGTAAGATTGAAAACTCTTTTCCATGGCCAGAGATCACAGACAGTGTCTCTGGGGGCTCTGTCCAGGGGGGTTCCTGACCCTTGCCAGGGTCCCAGACCTGCCAGGGCAGCCAGAGGGATGCCCTGGATTCCCACATAATGCCAGTTCCAAAGATTTCCTCATTTTGTTATCTTTTCTGTTTGAGGATTGCCCAGCTTCCAGCCTTTTTTTCTAAAAGGAGCTGCCAACAAACTGCAATATGATCCTCGGGTGGGAGGAGAACACAGTGGGTTGTAGCAGCTCAGTGTTGTGTTTGCAAAGATGCTCCAGGAAAAGTGAAAGAAACATGCAGTGAGACTTTCCCCCACTGCTTTGTCTTTCATGATTTTAAGACTTCCTGAGGCAGCAGTGAGAGTTCAGGATTAATGGCTTTTTTCCCTGCTTTATTTAACCTCTTGCTTTTTAAATCTCCCCAGGCTTTTCTATTTAAGGCTTCTATACCCATAACCTATTACAACATCACCCTGTACATAATTACAAATGGGTTTTGGCTGTGTTGTTAAAAATACAAATTAATGAGGGCGATGTAAGATGCAATCAGAGCATCCCAAAGTCACACATCTCTTATTTTTATTTCTCTTGACAAAATCTTCAAAATTGGGCCACAACTGGCTTTGTTCACTTTTTTCCTCCAAGCCTCCTGAGCTATCTTCCTTTCCAGACCCTCATAATTCCTGAAATTTTAGTGTACATCCAGCATAATAATGACTTAATTGTTGAAGCCTTGATATGCATCCAGAGTAATTCCATGATTTCATTTCCCCCCCCCTTTGCAAAAGAAACAAACCAAGATGGGCCAGGCCAGTGAAACAGGTGTAAGGCTGTGTTTTTGGAGAGAAATTCCTAAACCTCTGGAAATCTTTCTCCCCCACCACCAAGTGGGATATTTTTAACCCTTCCAGGATGTCTGTTAGATTTGGGCTGAGCAGAGTTAGGAGTTGTCAACTTCACCCCACAAACAACTCATGTTAGGTTTACATGAGCACAGCAGGTCACTTTTACAGGCTTTGAGGCGGGTTGAGCAAGGTCCTAGTGTAGATTGTTAGCTTGGGTTCATTTTGGAATAGAGAAGGGATGTCTTACCCTGTAAAATGTGTGTATTTGGAGAGCTGGGTGAGTGATGTGTGAGTTTTGGGAGGGGGATGGAATTGGGCTTGGCTTTGTGCAGGGAAGAATGGGCTGAGATGTCATCCAGAGCTTGTGTCCTACAGCTGAAAGTTGCCCTCTGGTTGGCCTCTAGCGTGCCAAGTGAGGGCCAGAATTCCCCTTTGGAGCCCTGGTGTGCCAGGAATCAATAAACAACAAACAGCAGTGCAGGTTTCCCAGCAATGGCTCTGCTGGCACCGGGCTCGTGGTGCTGGGGCTGGCAGCAGAGCCTCCCACAGGGATCTCTCAGGAAGGCAGCCAGCTCGCTGGAGACTTTGTTTGCTTGTGTGCTGTACATGAAAGGGTTGTTTTTCCTTAGAAACAAAAAAAGCCCGGGAAGGATTGTTTATCTTGTGAGGGAGGTGCTTTTCTGTGTGCCAGCTTGGAGCAGGGCAGAGCATTGGAAGCTGTGATCCAGAGGCAGCTGGAATAGGAGAGCTGCCTTTCTGCAGCCTGACTTTGCTTTTCTCCCCTTGCCCTTTTTTTGCCTCTTTTCCCTGAGCAGAACCAGCTGCTGTTTTTTCCTGCCTAGAAGGAGATGCTTGAAGAAGAACAGCTCCTAACTTTGCTTCCAGCTCGTTGGAGGCCTGTGCCACGTTCTGTGTGACTCCTGTTGGGGGCTGTGGGGCAGCCAGGGCAGAGCTGTGTGGGTCAGCAGCATTGCAGAGCTCAGGATGGGTCAGGGAGCTGCCCCACCACGTTTTGATGAGTTGGGCTCCTGGATCCCATTCTTTGTGGCTGCAGGGAGCTTTGCAGCCATTGTTCTCCAGCTTTTCTGGTGCAGCTCTTTATTCCATCAGCATTCCATGCTCCCATCAGCTGCCCCTGTCCCACTGGACAGCCACTCTGAGTTTTGGGGCAGCTGAGGGGAGTGTGGAGCTGTTTGCAGAGGGGTCTGGCAAGGAGTGGGGCAGGAACAGCCTGAGCTGGCCAAACTCTTTCTGCTGACACGAGCAGCAGGCTGGCTTTGCCTTTGTGGCAGGGCAGGCTCCAGGTTGTCCACCTGAACCCTGAGAGTCCCTTGGCTTCTGCTTGAGCTGCAGTTCCTGAATTTTGGGCCTGTTGTGTTTGCATTCCTCATCTTCCTCCTTCAGAGCACCAGCTGTGGCTGTGATTCCAGCAGTGGCAGCTTAGTTCCAAACCAAATCCTGTCCAGCTTTGTGTCCCCTTTGCTTTGGGAGCCCTTTATCTGGGACAGAGTGGAAGTTGGTACCAAAAGCTTTCCAAACCATGCACATAAATGAGTGGTTGCAGTATGCTTAATGCAACTCTCCTTCCTGGGAAGCCTTATCTTTTCCCCTCTCCTAAATCCTGTTTTGTCCCCACAGTGCTGCAGTTCTGCTGTCTGTCCTTCCAAGACAAAAGGTGCATTATCATTTGAGAAGGATGTTTGGGTTTTTTTTTCTTAATGGGGAGTGGTTATTCTGCAAGGCCTGGCAGATTTAGGATCTTGCTGTGGGGACTGGGAAAGCATTCAGGTTAGTTATTAACCAGTTCTTGAGAAAAACCAAGCCCCACACTGTCTGAAATAAATCCTTGCTGGGGCAATGAGTCTCTGCCTGGAAATAAACCAGGTACACCTCCTCAGCAAATCACATTTCAGCATGACTGGAGTTAGACATGCTGAAACTGGACTTGTAAGGGGACAGGAAGGGTGCTGGTGCAGTTTGTGCCTGTTGCAAATCTTTTGGGATGTTTGAAAATCTCCTTGGATGGCTTGAAATTCTTTGTTTCTGTGTTATCCAACTGATTCTCTCCAACTTATTTGTATAAATCCCTCATGAAGGGGATAATCTTAAACAACAGAAAATGGTTTAGTAGAGCAAGAGCTCTGGCTTGATAACTTACTCCATCTGTTGGACGCTGTAGGTGATTCCTGTAACTGCAGGAATTGGCCTGAAATGTTTTCTAGTAATTACAAATGTGACACTGGCAAGGACAAACAGAATGATATTGTCTGGACCTGAAGGACAAAGGAAGAAATCAGCAAGTAAAGGATATGTTGACCTCACAGTTGTGTATTTGCATCAGTTCTTCATCTCCAGCCCTAAGGAGGAGGCTTTCATCAGTCTCACACCAGAGAATTTGGGCTTTCCCAATGACTTGTGATTGGAAAGAAATGTATTCCAAAACACAAGGTAGTGGGTAAGGAGAGTGAAACAGGAATGAGGCAATGGACTGTGTGTCATATCACAGAAAATACATCAAGGTTGAGAAAAAAGAGATCCTTTCTATTCAGGGTTTGCAGTTCTCCTTAAAGATCATTAATAGGGAAGAAAACACCTACAGTAGTTTCTGAAATTTATGGGAATTCCAAAAAAGGGCCTGGGTCACACACCTGCCTGAACATGGGAAAACTCCTGGGTCAGAGCTGATTACCTTGCCACTGATGTGGCACTGGGATTAAATAAAACCTGAAGAAACACCTTTTTTCTACTGTGAGCAAGCCTGTTTTTCTAACCTGGCAGGTGGGAAGTCCCTGAAAGTCTCTTTGCTGATGCTCTATTTCCTATTGGTGTTCTGTTTTCTATTTGATGTTCTAGTTTCTGCTGGCTTAGCTGAGCGTGAGCAATGTGAGCTCCGTGGTGAGTACCCCTTGAGTGAGGGAGTAAGCAGGAGCTCCATTTCCCACAAAATGTGCTGAGAAAATGCCTTTTTCCCTTTTAGGGCACTCTCCCAACTTGCTTTTCTTTTGGCTTAGGGTCGTCCAGCAGCCGCCACCCCAACCAGGTGACGCCGAAGAAGAGCGGCCTGAAGAACGGGCAGATGAAGAGCAAGGACGACGAGTGCTTTGGGGACGACATCGATGAAATCCCAGACACTGATTTCGATTTTGAGGGCAACCTGGCCCTTTTTGACAAGGCAGCTGTGTTTGAGGAGATCGAGACTTACGAGAGGAGGAGCGGCACCCGCTCCCGAGGGACCCCCAACGAGAAACCCGCCCGCTACCGGCACGACGAGAACATCCTGGAGTCAGAGCCCATCGTCTACAGGAGGATTGTGGTACCCCAGAACCCCCACAAGGAATTCTGCACGGGTATGTTCCTCACCAGGACCCAAACTGCTGCCTTTGGGGGCACACACGGTGGAGTTTTGCTGTGAGGCATCAGCTTAATGTGTCCAAGCAAGGTTCACGTAAGGTTGGATTTGTGTGTCCACACACAGCCTTTCTGTGCAATGTTTCTGAGATAAATACCCCGAGAGGGCAGCAAAGTTGCTCCAGCAGGCAGCAAAGCTGATGGTTGGGAACTGAGTAAGAGGTGTTTGAGTCCTTGCTTTGATTTCAGTAGCATGGGGAGCCCATGTAGACTCAGAAGAGGGACAGAGGGATGGGCTCAGGATTTGTGCTTTCATTATTTCAGGAGGTTTCCTGTGCTTCTTGCACTCCTTGGGTTGTAGTTCTCCGTTTCTGCGTGGTTTTAAATATACTTCATGTAAAAAGGACTTACAGCACATTTAGTCCAAATTCCAGATAACTTTAGTCTCCTTGGGATATCTTCCTTTTGATTTTAAGCACTTGTAAAATGTGGGAGTGAAGGAAATTGGGCATTCCAGGAACGTTTCTTTTCCACATCAGAATAAATTCAGATGTCAGCTCTTCTTGCAGGGACTCAAACCAACTGATATTCTGGTAGCCTGAGCAGAAGTGTGAGCAGCTCCTTGGGCTGTCATTCGTTCTCTGCCTGGAAATTCCATCTGGGGTGTGAAACGCTTCAGGGGAGGAAGCTGATGGATTTGTAGTGATTTGCTGCTTCTCAGTTTTGAAAAGTCCCTTTTTTAAATGGTTCTGGTGTATAACAATGTCCTAGTTCTCCATTTCTGTCATTCCTCTTCCTGGTGTCCCGTTCTGCTCTCGGGTGGGAGGAGAACACAGTGGGTTGTAGCAGCTCAGTGTTGTGTTTGCAAAGATGCTCGAAGAAAAGTGAAAGAAACATGCAGTGAGACTTTCCCCCACTGCTTTGTCTTTCATGATTTTAAGGCTTCTTGAGGCAGCAGTGAGAGTTCAGGATTAATGGCTTTTTTTCCCTGCTTGATTTAACCTCTTGCTTTTTAAATCTCCCCAAGCTTTTAGCATCTCTCTGTGGAAGAAGCCACACTGATTACCCCTGTGCTGTGTGAATAAGCACCTCTTCATTTTCTGTGTGGTTTCCTGTCTATCTTGTGAGTTTTTTCAAATTTCATACTTGTCAATCCATCTTCCAGCTGGCTTGTTTGAGAGGAGACAGGGCCTCTGTGGATGTCTAGTCTGAAACAAAAGCTAAGCCACTTTTGGCAGCCAATCTGAGCAGGATGGCTGACAGGTGATTCTAGCAGCAGAATTCCTGGGGGGAAAACCACCGTACACTGAGCAGCAGTGAGTAAATTCAGGGATGGAAACCCAATCCTGTTTGCTGCACTCCCAGTGCTTTGTTGAGCAGCTGGAAGGAGGATGCTGAGCTGTAGGCAGCCTGCCTCTCAGTGGCTCAAAGAGCAGCTGGAGTGCTTAAATGAGTGCCAAGAGCTCCAAAAGCCTTTTTGGTTTTGGATGTGTCTGTGGCAGGATTCTCCCTGCAGAGTTTTTTCTGGTTTCCTGCGGGAAGCTCTCCTTGCAAAAAGCACTTCCTAGTTATGACAAAGCACTTCTTTCTCTTGTTTTTTTTTCACCCTGAGCCGGTCTGAGAGATGATTGTGTTAACAGAGACAGTGAGACAGTGATTCTCTGTCTGCTGCAGCAGCACAAAACTGATGCTGGGGATTGGCAGGGAGTTCATATCCAGCTCTTGGCACTGTGGGATCCTGTCTCTGGATCCCTGCCTGCTTTTTATGCCATGGAGGTAGGGGGTAACCAGGATGGTTTTACAGAGGTAAAACCACACTGCTGATGGCAGTTTTGAGTCAAAGACTCACCTGCAGGACTTCAGCCTGGGATTTTATTGCTGACTGAAGGAACTTGGTGTGAGTAGGATAAACATTTCAGTCCACTGGGATGCTTTTCTGAGAGCTGGTTTTGTGGAGCTAGGCTGTCAAGTAAAACACTTGTAAAACAACCCTGTGTTTTAGAAGTGAGCAGGGAGTGAAGAAGGTGGGAATCTGTTCCAAGCAAAAGTGAAAACCTGGAGGTAATAGAATTTACCAGGTGATTGTGGCTGAGCTAAGGCCTTCCCTGGGACTCCACATGTGAATCCCTCCTAAATACATCACCAGTCTCACAGGTTTGGGCTGGCTGCTGTTGAACTGTCTTTATTTACTGGGAAATGCAACAGCTTGGCAAAAACTACCTCTCTGAAAAGGCTGATCCTTGCATGAGTGTGAGCTGCCTCCTGTTGGCACTAAAACTCCTGTGTTTGAACATCTCTGTGTTTTGGGAGCAGGTCCTTCAGCAGAGCCAGCATGGTGCAGGAGTGGTGGAGCTCAGAGGAGTTTGCAGGAGGGTCTCCTCTTCAAACAACCCTTCCTTCACAGTGAGGCAGAGCTTTGTGCCAGGATCAGAGGCTGGGTGTGCTCTGAGGGTGATGCCCACAGTGTGGCTTTTCCTTTGCAAGGGCTTTTCCTTTCCCTGACTGTTCTCTTATTTTATCTCCTTCATGGCTGGATGTGAATATTGAATGTGTGAAGAGTGAAAACTTCCACTCTGCTCAAGTTTGCTTCAGGAGCAAACAGAGTGGGCCTGGGGCCGAGTCCCTTTGTCCCTCTGGCAGTTTTTTTTTGCTCAGCTGCAGGGAATTGTGCACTAATGCTGGGAGAGGCAGCCAGAACTCTGGTGGGATTTGCTGTAATTAAAAACAATGATGATGATGAACAAAAGCAGCTTTAAGGTTGTGTTGTGTGAGGGGCAGCAAATGTGTTTGGCTGAGTCTGCAGGCAGGTGCTTCCAGCTCTAGCAGCAGCAGAAGGCAGCAGGGAATGTCTCCTGTGCCTGGTGTGGCCAGGAGCTCCAGACTGTCACACTGGGAGGCTCTGGAGCTGGGACCTGGGATTCCTCATTGCCAAAGGAAAGAGCTGATGATGTCAGGACAGCTTGCAGGAGCTGCTGAGTCCAGTTCTACCTGAGCCAGTGCCTGGATTTATTTTAGCAGAGAACTAGAGAGCTGCTGAAATGGCCAAGGGAAAAGATGGGATCCAACACCTGAGTTCCTCTAGTGTCAACCCTCTCCTTTTTCCCTGCCACTGCAGGCCTGGGAAGCATTTGGGCATCCCAGCAACATTACAGGGCTTGTTTGGGGAAAAAATCCCTAATTTTTAGCTTCTGAAAGGTTAACTCACTCTTCTGCTGGCTTGGGATATTTTTATCCACCCAGTGTCACTCTTCATGTCACAAAACTGTTCAGTCTATATCTGCCTTGTGGGTTGGTTTTGGTCGATTTTTTTTTTTCCAGGCAGCTGTAAAATACAGCTTAATTTATTTAATATTAAAAGGCCTGGGCTAATTTATTTTATTACCTTCATTAACAAACAATAAAGATGCCCTGTCCAACCCAAACATAATTAAAGTTGGCAGAGCTTCAGTTTTGTGGCAGCGGTGTTATTGTTTGTGGCTTTGCACGTCGCCTCCTTGATTGCTCTGTGCCAGAGTTTGTTTAACTCCCTGGGCCTGCTTTGGATGAGCCAGTCTGACTGGTTGGACCTTGCGTGAGGGCAGAGAAGGGAAATTCTCCTGGCACCTCAGCCTGCTCCTGAGAGGGAGCAATTAGCACAGGCTGGCGTGCTAAATGCCACTTCAGCAGTGCCTCACATTAACCCTGGTGGCAGCCAGCCCATGCTAAAGGCTGCTCCAAGCAAAAGTGAAAACCTGGAGCTGACAGAACTTTCCAGGTGATTGTGGCTGAGCTAAGTCCTTCCCTGGGACTCCACATGTGAATCCCTCCTAAATACATCACCAGTCTCACAGGTTTGGGCTGGCTGCTGTTGAATTGTCTCTTTATTTACTGGGAAATGCAACAGCTTGGCAAAAACTGCCTCTCTGGAAAGGCTGATCCTTGCATGAGGTGTGAGCTGCTGGCTGAGGGGAGGATGTGCAGGGGACACAAGGTCTGGGCTGAGTTGGGTGCACGCAGAGTTCAGATTGGCACGCAGAGTTCAGATTGTCTGCTCTGTCCTTCTGCTTCAGGGACTTGGTACTGTTGGGGTTACTTGGTGAGTCTTTAACAGTGTGGCAGTCTCTTTTTCCCTAGTGTGGCTGCTGAAGAAAAGGTTGAAGCTGAGTTTTTAAACTTGTTTATTTTTTCTTATCGATTATAGTTTCTTTTTGACCTGCCCAGGTCTAGCTAGTACAGAAGCCATGGCTGTCTCCCTCTGGCTCTGGGCATCTCTCACATTATATACCCAAAATTACATGTACCATGTTTACAATTCCCATACCAATACCCAAAATCCACGTTGGACAGTGTGTCCCTATCCTAAACCAATAGAAAAGTGTCACCATCACTCCAGGACATGGAGGACAAAAAGAACAAGAAGAAGTTTAGGACACACCCAAATCCCTCTGTTTTATCTCCTGAATTACATTCTAAAAACATCTCAAAATTCTACTTTTCCGCCCTGTGTCAATTTTTCTGTTACATTACTGAAACCCTTTTGGCTTGTAATTCCTCATGTAAGGTTGGCAGCCTCTGCCATGGGCTAAAATGGAATCTGCAGGTGTTTTTGCCTTGCTGCCAAGGTCCCTGGGCTCTTTGCCAGGGTCTCGGGGCATGGGAGGCAGCCAGAGGGATGCTCTGGACTCCCACAGGTCCAACCTTTAAGCAGATGGAGCAAAAGTAGAGTTTGGGATCTCTTTTGGGGTCAGCAGGAGACCCCAAGCTTGGGTCACTCATTCCAAATCTTCCCCACACTCCCCCAGATCTTCTCCTTGGAAACCAAGGAGCGGTGGCAGAGCTGGGACTGGCAGCGTGGCACAACAGGCTTGGGTGGCACTGTGACATTGGCATGGGCACGGTGAAACGCAGATGAAAAATCAAACCCCACAATTCCAATAAAGATTTGTAAGGAATGGCTGCATTTATTCACAGATGTCGGGAATCATTGCCCTTTAATGTAGATTCATACATCTGAGAACTCCCGATCCTTTTTTATTACCTTTACTAATTTCCATATGCATAGAATTTCACAATAGGTTGATGCATATTCATCCTGCCAATTTCACATTGCACTTACAGCTCTTGGAATCTGTTGTATTGATGATTCTGAGATTGTAGAAAGTCTCTGTCTGTCAGCCCCGCTGCCAAAGCAGAAGCCATAATTGGTCTGTGCTGTTTCAAGGTTGTTTATTCTGTTTATCTCTAACATGTTCTGCTGCCCTGCCGCAGCTCTGTCCTGCAGGGCAGCGTGTGGGGCTCTGCCCTCAGTGGGATGGTACAAACATTAAATACCACAAACTACCTGTGCTGGATTTACAATAACGTGCCAATATCTGTCACCTACGTTGAACAGTGTATTCTTAACCTAAACCAGTAGAAAAATGCCAACACCACAGTGAAACATGGAGGGCATGAAGAAGGAGGAAAAGGACAAGACACACCCAATTTCCTCCATCTTGTCCCCTCTGAACCCCTAATCTAGAATTTTAAAATTTTACTTTTGCACCCGTGCCACACTTAATTATTACTTATATCAAACACTCAGAGCTGGTAATTCATGCTGTAAGATTGAAAACTCTTTTCCATGGGCAGAGATCACAGACAGTGTCTCTGGGGGCTCTGTCCAGGGGGGTTCCTGACCCCTGCCAGGGTCCCAGACCTTCCAGGTCTGTTTTTGTTTGGTTTTTTTTTTTGTTGTTTTTTTTTTTGTTTGGGATTAAATGTGTAGAGATGGTGTTTTGTCTTTGAACTCCGATGTTTATTGTTTTTATCTGTATTACAGTCTTACAAGCTGTGAGTTCTACGGCATTTCATTAACAAGTTATAAAACGGCTCAGAATCTATCTCTACATGGTCTTTTAAGGAAAAACTGAGGAAATGACACTTAAATTATTTTTACTTTTAACTTAATAACTAATTACTTGTGTCTTATAATGTGGACTTTTCAGTTGTATAATACTACTTAAATTCATGAAGAAGGACTAGGACTGCCTTTAAACTTCTATCTTAGCTTTTATATTACTGTATTTTAAAATATTTTACTATATATTAAAACTAATATATTACTATATATTACAACTAATATATTACTGTATTTTAATACTTTAACTTTTTTACTATGAGATATTGTACATTTCTATTTAAACTACACACTTATAACCTCAGTGTTATCAATTAATTTTGGAAGCCTTCTCTCAGCTTGAGGTCAAATGCAGTGTTCTCTTGAGTGTGTGTGTCTTTCAACGCAGAAAATCTAAAATTCTCAGCATGGAGGGATCCAACACCCCCCAGGATGTGCAAAACCTCCCATTTCTGCTGGAGCTTGACTGGCTTGTTGGTGCCTTGGTTTGAACACAGGAGTCTGCTGAGGAGGGCAGGAGCCTCTCTTGAAATGGAAAATGTCAACCCCCTCCCTCTGAATTGTTATTTTGAAATTAAGGGGTTCTCAGCAAAGATATGGGAATAGGAATAACAGTTCTTTTATTAGAAAAAATAAAAATGCAGTAATATAAAACAAGACTGACAGAATCAGAACATGCCCTGTCCCCTGTGGGTCAGGGAGGTGGCAGCAGTCCCATCCCAGGGTGGCTCAGCCCTCCTGCAGTGCCAGCTGTGCTTCTGCTGGAGCAGGATCCTGCACAAGGGGGGAGTTTTCCTCTGGAGCTCCAGGGCTGGGGGAGATGGGCCTGGGCTCCTCTGGGAATGCAGTGGGGAAGAAAGCTGCTCCCCTGGGAATGCAGTGGGGAGAAAGCTGCTCCTCTGGGAATGCAGTGGGGAAGAAAGCTGCTCCTCTGGGAATGCAGGGGGCAAAGGCTGCTGTGGTGTCCCAAAATCTCAGATTGTATCCAGGTAGGAATGCTCGGCTCCTCCCCTGAGCATCTCCCCAAGGGATGATGGAATTTTATCAGGTGCAGGGACACTTACTGGCCCATTAACAGAAGATACTTAATAAATAATGGCCCATTAACAGGAGATATCTCCTGGAGGGAGGATTGGTTGTGGAAGAGATAAAGAAAACTGCCCAATGAACAGCAGATACCTGCCCCAGCTCTGTCAGATGTGGCAGCCCAGCCACATCTTGCAGCCCAGCACACTGGGGCACCCTGGGGGAGTACAGCAGCACAAATAATTCCTCACAGCTCAAATCCACACTGCTCTTCTCATTTGGCCTCTGGTTGTGAGAGTTGTGTTTGCTATGTGCAGAGGAGCCCAGCCCATGAGGAGTGGCTGCCTTTGCTCCTGGGGTGGGTACACGAGCACTGCTTGTGCCCCTCTGGCACTGCCTGTGCCACTCTGGCACTGCCTGTGCCCCTGGAGCATTTCCCCAGCCCTCTCACATTCCCACAGCTCTTTCCCAGCAGCACAGGCAGCCCCAGCCCAGCTGGGCTACCAGGAGCACCCAGGGGCCCACTGTCACCCCCAGACAAAGGCAGAGGTGCCAGGGGGAGCGTGAGGGTGACCCAGGGCTGCTGAGCACGGGGGAAGCTGGAGGAGAGATGCTGATGGGGGGACTGAGCTCCCACTTTTTGACCTGATGTTTCCTGTAGCAGGCATTGCTTTTAGTCCTCGGCCTTTTTGCTCCATGGTGCTCCTCCTCTGCCTGTCTCAGAGTGGGAGCTGCCTGCTGGGCTCAGCTGGCATTCCAGGGAAGAGAAGGAGCTGAGAGCTGCTCCAGCTCTGAGGCCATCCCATAAGGGGGTGGCACAGCTTGTCCAGAGAAGCTGTGGATGCCCCTGGGATCCCTGGAAGTGTCCCAGGCCAGGCTGGACACTTCTCAGCACTTCACAAAACCTCTCTTGTTGCTGTTAAATGCTGGAGCATTTCCCAGCTCGCTAGCCCAGGCTCTTCAGAACACCTGGCAGGTGTTTTTCTGCAGAGTTTATCCTTTCAGCATTTCCCTGCTGCCTCTGTGTGCTGTGATGCAGCTGTTGGGTCTGGAGCAGCCCTTCTGGCATGGGAACACCACCAGCAAATGTGGGATGGCTTGTTTTGCTGTGATCTTGGGATTTTGGGGACCAGTGTCAGGAGGCAAAAACCATCCAGGCTTTTTTTGGCACTTCACAGCTGCTCTTCTGACTTTCACAGTGCTCAGGAGCATTTTGTGGTGGGTTAAAACACTGTTGGACTGGAGACCATTAAGAAAAACCTTAATATTCCATCTGTAAGTCCCAAAGGCCTTCTCAGCCCTTGTGTTACTAAAATTTCCCACAGAGCTTTTGCAGAAGTGTTATTTTAAGCCAGCACTTGTGTTAAGCTGTCTCTGCCTCACTGAGAATAATTTGGATTCATTTGGAGGCCTGGGCAGGAACGTGGGTGAGCAGTTAACAAGCCTTTTCCCTGCCACTCTGCTGAGGTGTCTGACTGTCCCCATTTGTGCCTCCCTCCCCTGTTTCTGCCCCCCAGACTCGGGGCTGGTGGTGCCCAGCGTGTCCTACGAGCTGCACAAGAAGCTGCTGGCGGTGGCCGAGAAGCACGGGCTGACCCTGGAGAGGAGGCTGGAGATGACAGGGGTGTGTGCCAGCCAGATGGCCCTGAGCCTCCTGGGGGGGCCCAACAGGTACAGCTGGGGCTTCTGTGGGGAGGGAAAAGGGTGGCAGAGCCCTCTCAGCTCACTGCTGCCACTTTTGGCTCTTGGCTCACAGACAGAGCACAGCTGAGATTTTCCTTCCCCCTCGCTGGGGGTTGTTTGGGGAGCTGAGCTTTGCACAGGTGCTGCCTGAGGTGGATGGAGCCACTGCAGAATGTGTGATGAGCTCCCTTCTCACAGAAAGGAGCCTTCCCTTTGCTGGCTTGGCACGTTACGATTTCAGTGTGTCAATAAAATTTCAATGTGTCACAATTTCACTGTCAATAAAAGCAGCCTGTGAAAACAGTGCTGTGCTAACTCAGCTTTTCAGGCATGTGCAGCTCACCTGAGCACATCCTGCTCTTTGCAGCAGCTTTGGAGTGCACTCAGTGCCTTTTGCTGGCTCCTGAAGAGCTCTGCTTCCGTGGCTGTTGCTGTGGGCAGGAACTGCACCTGTGGTTTTGTGCTCTTGATAGCTGCTCCTAATTATTTGCTTTCAAAAAGAAAGGTAACCCTTCAGTCTCCATCTGCTTATTCAGCAGTGCCTTACCAGGACCTCATTTTTTATTCAGGAGCTCTTTACCAGGACCTGATCTCATATTCAGGAGCTCTTTACCAGGACCTGATTTCTTACTCAGGAGCTCTTTACCAGGACCTGATTTTTTATTCAGGAGCTCTTTACCAGGACCTGATTTTTTATTCAAGAGCTCTTTACCAGGACCTGATTTTTTATTCAGGAGCTCTTTACCAGGACCTGATTTTTTATTCAGGAGCTCTTTACCAGGACCTGCTCACTTACTCAGGAGCTGTTTACCAGAACCTAATTTCTTATTTAAGAGCTGTTTACCAGGACCTGATTTTTTATTCAGGAGCTCTTTACCAGGACCTGTTTTTTTATTCAGGAGCTCTTTACCAGGACCTGCTCATTTGATGGAGAGCACTGACTGATGGCACACAGGCAGCTGAAATTCCTGCTGCAAGCCCTGATGCCTTCCAGGCCAAATTAACTTTATTGTGCAGTTGATGAAGCTTAGGGAGTAGAAACCATTTTTCTTTTTTAATTGTGACTGCTCTGATGGGGAAACTCACTTCAAATTTTTTTCTCCTACAATCCTTGGGACCTTTTGCTCTCAGCTGTGGGTGCAGGGAAGGGGAAGAGAAGACTGGAACAACCTTCAAGTATCTGAAGGGGCCTATAAGGAAGCCAGAGAAGGTTCATCAGGAACTTAAAGAGAGGAAATTTAGGTTAAATACGTGGAAGAAATTCTTCCCTGTGAGGGTGCTGAGGCCCTAGCACAGCTGTGGCTGCTCCATCCCTGGGAGTGTCCACGGCCAGGTTGGAGCAGCCTGGGGTAGTGGAAGGTGTCCCTGCCCACGTGGGTGACCTTTTTAGGTCCCTTCCACCCAAACAAGTCTGAGCTTCTCTAAACATGCAGGCAGAGCAGCGGCAGCACCACAAGAGGATGTGGTTGTTCGGAGAGCGGTGGCAGATTTGCAGAACACCTGGCAATTTGCATCTAACTGATTTTTTTTTTTTTTTAAGTTTTTTGTCTCGTGCAGGAAGAAGTTGGGGTTTGCTCACAGTCCCTTTTTTTGGCCTGTGTTTCAGACTGAACCCCAAGAACGTGCACCAGCGGCCCACGGTGGCGCTGCTCTGCGGGCCCCACGTGAAGGGCGCCCAGGGCATCAGCTGCGGCCGGCACCTCTCCAACCACGACGTGCACGTCATCCTCTTCCTCCCCAACTTCGTCAAGATGCTGGAGTCCATCACCAACGAGCTCAACCTCTTCAGCAAGACACAAGGCCAGCAGGTGTCCAGCGTCAAAGGTGAGTGGCCAAGCAGGGCTGGCTTCCTCTGGGGGAGCAGGGCTGGCTTCGTCTGGAGGAGCAGGGCTGGCTTCTCTAGGGCTGGCTTCTTCTTGGAGAGCAGGGCTGGCTTCTTCTTGGAGAGCAGGGCTGGCTTCTCCAGGGCTGGCTTCTTCTTGAAGAGCAGGGCTGGCTTCTCCAGGGCTGGCTTCTTCTTGGAGAGCAGGGCTGGCTTCTCTAGGGCTGGCTTCTTCTGGGGGAGCAGGGCTGGCTTCTCTATGGCTGGCTTCTTGTGGAGGAGCAGAGCAGCTTCTCTAGGGCTAGCTTCTCTAGGGCTGGCTTGTCCAGGAGGAGCAGGGTGACTTCTCTAGGGCTGGCTTCTTCTGGGGGAGTAGGGCTGGCTTCTCTAGGGCTGATTTCTTCTGGGGGAGCAGGGCTGGCTTCTCTAGGGCTGGCTTCTCAAAGGCTGGCTTCTCCAGGGGGAGCAGGGTGACTTCTCTAGGGCTGGCTTCTTCTGGGGGAGCAGGGCTGGCTTCTCTAGGGCTGATTTCTCCTGGGGAGGCAGGCCTGGCTTCTCCAGGGCTGGCTTCTCCTGAAGGGACAGGGCTGGCTTCTCCTGGTGTGCAGGGCTCCTTTCTCTAGGGCTGACTTCTCCCGGGGGAGCAGGGCTGGCTTCTGCCCGCTGCCCTGGCACCATCTAGTGGCACTGGCACGCCTGGGTGGCTGCCCAGAGGCTGCAGGGACAGCTGGCACTCAGAGCCTCACAGAGCAGCGCTTGTGCTGCCACGGATGTTTCCAGTGGAACAGATCAGGGAGAGCCGCTGGATGGAACTGTGGTGGTAGGATGAGGGGCTGCCTTGTTCAGCATGCTGGAGCTGGGAGGGAATGAGTGTCCAGCTGCTGCTGCAAAGCAGGAGCCAGCTCTGCTGAGCCACTTGCAGCAGCTGTCAGGATTCCCAGCTCGGTATTCCCTAGAATAAACAGCTCCTGGGAAAGTGCTGGCTTCTGCTTAGCACTTCACCAGTTGTTTTCCAAGCTGCTTCAGTTGAACTTCTGGGGAGAAACAAAGCTGGGAGTTAGGGCTGTGCTGTGCTGACAGAGCTACTTGCCTATTATAAAATATTGTAAAAGGTTGGAACAGGTTTTGCAGAGCAGTTGTGGCTGCCCCTGGATCCCTGGAAGTGTCCAAGGCCAGGCTGGATGGGGCTCGAAGCACTCTGGGATGTGGAAGGTGTCGCTGCCTATGGCAGGGGGTGGGATGAGATGAATTCTTAATGTCCCTTCCAACCCAAACCATTCCATGATTTTGCACAAAGGACTTTGTGATCCATGAGGTGAGGGGAATGCAGCAGGTGAAGGAATGCAGCAGGTGAAGGAATGCAGCAGGTGAAGGAATGCAGCAGGTGAGAGCGACAGCGCTCTGTGGGGCAGGCAGCAGTGCAGCACAGTTGGTGTATTCCAAAAGCCAGCCTTGTTTTCACCTTGTGGAATAGAAAATGGTCCTTTCTGGTGGACAGAGAGCCCCACTGCTCCCTGGGCTGCCTGCACTGGTGAGTCCGTGGCACTAGGGCTGCTCATGAGCTGGTCACTGGGTGAGGTCCCTGCCAGGCTGGGGATGTCCCCAGAGCGCTGGAGAGCTGTTCAGGATGGCTCTGTGTGGGGGAAGGATGGCAGCAACAGCAGGTAAGGCCAGGCTGTGCAGAGAGTGGAAGCCAAACCCCAAATCTGCTGGTAGATTTGTACATCTAGATTTGTATATATTTGTATATATCTGTACTTTTCTGTCCAGATCTCCTGAAGGACATGTTTGGCTGCTGTGCAGCCTGAGCCTTCCCACCTCGCTCCACTTTGCACTGCTAACACAGTTGTGCTTGTCTTTGTACTCATTTGGCCCTTCTGAAGGTCCTGGTTTGCCTCCTGTGCTCCTTGTTGTGTATCCTGATAGAACAGCAGTTGCAGTGAATTTGGTGCCGCCGGTTCTCAGCCCTGTGTGTGTGTTTCTTCCAGACCTCCCAGACACCCCGGTTGACTTAGTGATCAACTGCCTGGATTGTCACGAGAATGCCTTTCTGAGAGACCAGCCTTGGTACAAAGCAGTGGTGGACTGGGCCAACCAGAACCGAGCCCCCGTGCTGAGCATAGACCCCCCGATCAGCGAGATGGAGCTGGGCATCGACGCCAAGTGGTCGCTGGCCCTGGGGCTGCCGCTGCCGCTGGGCGAGCGCGCCGGCCGCGTCTACCTCTGTGACATTGGCATCCCCCAGAAGGTCTTCCAGGAGGTGGGCATCAACTACCACTCGCCCTTCGGCTGCAAGTTTGTCATCCCCCTGCACTCCACTTAGAGCCCGTGCAGCCCCTGGCTCCCAAGGGAGAGAGGAGGAGCTCTGTGAAAGCCAAGCTGTGCGCTGGATCCCGGCTGGTCGACTCTGGTGACGCCTTAAAAAAGGAAAAATAAAAAAAGGATGTGAAGTTCTGGAGGGTTTGCCTTCTGGAAGAAACGCTGTGTATTTAAAAAAAAGAAAATGGAATAATCGCAAAATGAAACGAAAAAAAAAAAAAACAACAAAAAGAAAAAAGGAGGAGGAAGAGGAAGCGAATTGTTCCTGCAAAGCCGTTTTCATTCTCTCCTGCTGTGGGATGAAGGAGCATGCAGGACCATGGTGTCTGTCCCCTGCTGCTGCCCAGCCCTGGCTGGCACATGGTACAAATAAGGGTGCTTTGGAGCTTCGAGATGTTTCATGTCCTTCTGGTTGACTATTCCCAGCAAGGACATCCTGGTGGGAACAGCACCCCTTGATTGTGTAGAAATCCCTTGAGTGGAGGGGAAATCTCATTTGGTTCCCGCGTTGGTTTTGACTGCCCCATGCCTGTTTTGTGTTCCAGAAGGCAGCTGTAGCTCCCTCTCCTTCCCAGCCCGTCCTGCCCCTCACGAGAGGGTTCCCTGTTTGGAGAGCTTGTGCCAGGAGCCAGGGGCTCCCACATGCTCTGGGAGCACTGATGTCCTTCCTCAGCTAGGCCTTATTGTTTATGTACTGTTGGCTTTTCTTTGTTCGCTTTGTGGCCGAAGCCCAGCTCTGTGGGGTGGAGGCCTGGCATGGAAAAGAACTTTTCCAGCGTCCTCCTGGGGTTTGGGGTTGTTTTCTTTTGTTCTTTCTCCAGGGCTGGGGAAGTGGAGCAGGGCAGCTTTGCTCTGGGGTTGTTGGGTGCTGTGTGCTGCAGGTGATGGTTGGGGTAAGCTCCCCTGTCCTTCCAGCATCCCTGCTACATTTGGTATGGTTTGGGAAGTAGCTCACGGATCTGTTCATTCCCATTGGAGTCAAAGCCTGTGTATGGGGTGGGCTTGGCCTGAGGAGGGGTTTGGCTCCTGTCTGCTGGCAGGAGAGAGGGTGTGGTGGGAACTGCTGTGCTCCTGGAGGGCCGTGCCAGAGATCCTGGGTGGGATTTCCATCAGAAACCTGCTCTGCTGTGCCTGGCCAGAAATGTGGAGTTATCCTTCCCTGTGTTCCTTTTGCTGGGCTGGGTGCAGTGCCCGGGGCAGGGACAAGCTGAGGAGCCACCAGCTCGCTGGCTTTGGCAATCAGCTTGGGCACCCAGAGCCGAGCCAGGGAGCTGCTCCTCGGGAGGAGCTGGGGCTGTGGGCAGTGCTGGAGCTCTGCTGGGGCTGTGGGCAGTGCTGGAGCTCTGCTGGGGCTGTGGGCAGTGCTGGAGCTCTGCTGGGGCTGTGGGCAGTGCTGGAGCTCTGCTGGGGCTGTGGGCAGTGCTGGAGCTCTGCTGGGGCTGTGGGCAGTGCTGGAGCTCTGCTGGGGCTGTGGGCAGTGCTGGAGCTCTGCTGGGGCTGTGGGCAGTGCTGGAGCTCTGCTGGGGCTGTGGGCAGTGCTGGAGCTCTGCTGGGGCTGTGGGCAGTGCTGGAGCTCTGCTGGGGCTGTGGGCAGTGCTGGAGCTCTGCTGGGGCTGTGGGCAGTGCTGGAGCTCTGCTGCTCCTCTCACCCTTCACCCAGCTCATCCCCAGGGCTCCTGCCGGCTGCTCCACCTCGCCCAGCCCTGCCCTGGCACCGGGAGAGCTCCGGGCGCTGCCTCTGTGCCCGGATCCTTTGGGAGGCTGAAGCACAGGGACCAGTCCAGGTGGGACCACAGCTTGTGCCCCGAGCTGGGGCTTTAGTCAGGCACTCCTCTTTCCTTTCCTCTGTTGGAACAAAGGCAGGGCTGTCAGAGGAGCGGGGAAGAGCCTTCCCTGCTCGGAAGGAAGCGATTTCTGGCTCTGGCCTGGCAGTGTGGAGGGCCCAGGAGGCTGCTGGGCCCCCCGAGGTCTGCCCCCCTGCACGTTGCCGTATCTACCTCAGCAGGACCAGGGGCTGTGCCCTGGCTGGCTGCAGCCCTGGCTCCCCCGTCTGCTCTCGGGGGGCTCTGCCCTCCCTCCTGTGCCCCACGGTTCAGCCCCAGCTGCGGGGGCACGACTGGGACAGGACAGCAGCGTGGTGGTCACTCACAACACAAACACAAGGTTTCCCCCTCTGCCTTTCTTGGTTTTTTGGCTGTTTCCTTGGATCTTCACCCTGGAGCAGCAGCAGGTTAAAAAGGTTGTTGCTGTATTCAGTGTTAGCTTTAGTCCCCTTACTTTCACTCTCTTTGCTCAAGACACTCAGTAGGAGACTTGCTGTTTCAATTTCTGCTTTCTGCAGGTTTTTCCTGCCCTTTCTGGGTTTGGCTGTCGAACTGTACCTTGTACACACGGAGCAGGGCAGGGATAGTCCAGGGTGCAGCTGCCCTGCCTGGAAGGCACTGGGGCAGGTGATGTTGTTTTTGCAGGGATGGAGCTCTGGGAAGCACCAGGGCCCTGGTTGTTGCCAGCCTTGAAATGCTTCCCCACGTTGAACTAAAAAAATAAAATGAACAGGAGGGTTCAGCCCCGGTGTAGGGAACAGGATTCCCAGTCCCAAATCCGTGCAGGGTGCAGGGCACAGCAGGCAGCATGGGGCTGTGCTCACTGCCTGCTGGATTTGGGTGTTTGGCTGTTCTTCCTCTCACTGCAGATGTTTCTTGGCTTCACACACCTGGAATGTGAGGTACCAGCTCTTCTGGAGCACTCGGAGACCCAGAACGGGCTCATCACCATCACCACGGTGCCAGAGATAATTCCAAGAACTGAGCACTGTGGTGGCTGTGTTTGGGATAGTTCCTACCCCCACCTGCCCCAGCACACAGCAGCTGCCCCTGGGGGCTGCTCTGGGCCCGCTGTGGTGACAAGGTGACAATCACCACCGTGGCACTGCTTGGTGACCCCACTCGTGACCTGATGTTTGTAACGACCAATTCCTGCCGCTGCGGGGGACCACGCCCTGAAATAAAGTGCAACTCTTCATGTGTGCTGCTGTGTGCAGATGTTTATTTGTCTGCTCTCCTTCTAGAACCTTCTGCAGCCAGGGCAGCCACCGGGCCACTCCCCCCCACCGATTCCAGGTGACTTTTCACCATCCCCCTCTTCCTCTGCAGCAGAGGCAACCCTACACCCACCTACGAGGGAAGTATCAAACAATAAGAAACACTTTATTTTAATTTTACAACATATAAATAGACAAATCTGTGCTTTCCAACGGAGCTTTCCTTTCCCCTCTCCTCCCAGGGTCCTTGTGGCAGTGCCCCAGCCTCTGTGAACTCGGGGAGGGGAGTGGGGCTGAGCTGCAGAGGCGGCAAGATCCATCCTGAGGGATCCATCCCGAAGGATCCATCTTGAGGGGTCCATCTTGAGGGATCCATCCTGAGGGGTCCATCCTGAGGGGTCCATCCTGAGGGATCCATCCCAAGGGGTCCATCCCAAGGGATCCATCCCAAGGGGTCGATCCTGAAGGATCCATCCTGAGGGATCCATCCCAAGGGGTCCATCCTGAGGGATCCATCCCAAGGGGTCCATCCCGAGGGATCCCGGCCGTCATCTGCTGAGGTCCCGGCTGGCGCCGCGCCCGCACAGCATCCGCTCCTCTGCCGAGAGCCCGGCAAAGAAGGGGTGCAGGAGGGCCTCTGAGAACGTGATGCGCTGCGAGGGGTCGAATTCCAGCATCCTCCTCATCAGGTCAAAGAGCTGTGCGTGCTCCAGCGAGTCGTGCAGCATGTACGTCTGGAAGGGAAGGGACAGGGACACGGGCTCAGCCCTGCCTGGCTGGGGCTCCTTCCCACCCCAAACACAGCATTCCCCCCTTTCCCTAATCCCCATCCTGCCCTAGGCAGAGCAGGATCGCTGCAGCTGGGAGCTGGGGCTCCCTGCCAAGCCCTTCCAGTGGGAATTCCACCCCTGAGCCAGGGAAGGGAGGGGAGCAGCACCTACCCGCAGGGGCTTGCAGTTCTCCTGCACGTATCTGCCATCCGACGTGTTCTCGTCCCACACCAGGCTGCCATTGTGGAAGTATTTTTGCTTCCTGCACGGGGAAGGAGGGGATCAGGCAGGATCTCTCCCTCCCAGCCCGCTGATGGTGCCTGGGCTGGCTCAGCACCGGGCTCTTACCGAGTTTTGTGGACCATGTGAGACGGGAGCGGCCCCAGGATTTTTTCCATCATGACAAGGTGCTCACGGTTCTCATGGGTCTGCAAAGGAGCGGAGCAGTGGTGGGTTAGTCACAGTTTGGGGAGCTGATGGCAAAGCTCTGTCAGCTCTGCAGGGACAGCGGAGAAAGGATTCCACCAGGTCCTGTCCAACTTCTCATGTTTTGCTTTTCCCTTTCTTCAGAGAATAGAAATAACCTAAACCCAGAAATGATCCAAACTTTTTCCTTCCAGCAAGGGGCTCCTCAAACCAGCCCTTTTCCAGGGCTCGTTTTCACACTCAGCTTCTCATTTTCAGTGCCTGATGTTTGATTCTCTCCCTTTCACCTAAGTCTGAGCCCTTTTGGACACGAAGAGTTCTCGGGAAACAAGAATCCTACCTGGAAGAGCGTGAAGCCACGGTAATACTCGAACAGAATGCAGCCAGTGCTCCAGACATCACATGGCTGTGCCCAGCCCAGCTCTGCAAAGAAATCCAAATTACAAACCCCACCACATCCCTCCTTGGTGAAACCACAGGGACTCCGCTCAGAGCCAGAAATCATCTGCCCAAGAGCTGCAGCGTTCCCAGGCTGGTTCTCCGTCCTGGGGCCCACCCAGGACTCCCCAGAAGGTGCAGTTCTCACCCAGAATCACTTCTGGGGGCCGGTAGTGCCGGGTGGCCACGATGGTGGTGTGGTGCTCGTGGTCGAAGGTGGCGCTGCCGAAATCGGCCACGCGGATGCTCGTGTTCCGGATGGATTTCTGCTCGCAGCTCTGCGGGGAAGCACGGGGTGAGAGGAGCCCCAGGGAGCTGCTCTGAGCCCCAGGGTGCTGCTCTGAGCCCCGGGGTGCTGCTCTGTGCCCCAGAGTGCTGCTCTGAGCCCCAGGGTGCTGCTCTGAGCCCCAGGGTGCTGCTCTGAGCCCCAGGGAGCTGCTCTGAGCCCCAGGGTGCTGCTCTGAGCCCCAGGGAGCTGCTCTGAGCCCCAGGGTGCT